GACCCAGTTGTGGTATTTACATAAACATACTATGCAAGTACACTTAACTGATCAGATTCGGTCTATCAACGCACAATGTAACGCTGTATATCCAAAAATCTGTTTCAGAAAATGCTCACATGATTTCAGTTCTAGGGGTGGAAAAATACAAAACATTTTCTGGGGGGAGAATACCCTCAGACCCCCTTACTACTACATACGATACCACACCAAACTTTTTGTCACCAGCAACCATCTGTCGTCTCTACACACTCAGTATAGTATGGTCCCTTTTTATAGATGCCCACCCCCAGACAAGTTCTTAAAATCTCATTTCGCTGTATGAAGAGGGGTCATGGGTTAGTGTTATGGTAGGACAAATGTTGCATTGCAAAGTAGTAACACATGATATATATTTTTTAATCATATATGGTTGAATCATATTCACCAGGGGCCGGTTGCTCAAAGCTGGGTTAGCTTAACCCTAGGTTAACCTAAAATTCAAAGCAAACTTCCTGACAGCTTGTCTATAAATTTGGAAATATTTCTTCAGAAATCTTGTCTGGATGGATAGGAGTTTACTTGTCTGAAGTTTTGAAATAGACAGACGTGCAGAAATACACAAACTAAAACAGCAGGTTAAACTTTTAACCCAGGGTTAGCGCTAACCCACCTTTGAACAAACGGCCCCAGGGTAAAACATCATGAGCTAGATTGAACAGATTGTCCTAATATCTAACTTTACCTGCAATGCACACCTGTTTCATTGCTGTTAATTTTTCAATCTACACTTGGGGGGGGGGGCGTCAGAAAAGTTTCTACTTTTATGAGGGGGGAGGCACAAAACTGGAGGGGGGGGACAAAAAAGTTTTCAATCCTTATTTTCCCCATTTCCCAACTCCCCCCTCCCCATAAATGATGACCACTCCCTTATGGTATATCGCAATTTCTCTGTTTAGCGCCCCCCCCCCACCCCTACTCCCCACCCCTTTCTCATGTAACCAATTAATTAATGTATAAAATCGTGAAACATGAAAGTGTTGACTGCGTTGTATTTGAAAGATAATTATGATATTTTACTGATAATCACAGTACCCGATGTTGCATATATAAAGAGAATCAAACGTGCAAAACAGTTAGAATTAAACCCTCCTCCCCCCTTCTAAATTGGATAGAGAAATTATGGTATGCATGTTTTAGAATATTTAGGATTGTGATATTATTTAAAGCCTGATTCGCTTGCAAACGTTATGCAATTGCTGTAGTATAAAATAACATCATATTTTAAATAAGTTATTATTGTAATGTTGGCTTGGAAGTGTTCCTGGCGAGGGCTCGATACGGTACATTGCTCAGAATGTTTGGTAAACCCCATTAAAATGCACAGAAGTGACAGAACATAAAAATATCATATATTTTTAAAATATTCCGATGTCATCTTGTTTTACTTCAGCCCTGTTTTCGCACATTTCATAATTTTCTCTTGTCCAGTCCTAGATTGAGATAAGTTTTTCTTATCTGCGCGTGCGCATTACGTGTTTTGTGCTCAAGCGCATGCGTATTTGCAACACAACAATGGCGGTTCATGGATTCCGAAACACGAGGAAGCGTGAACTTTGAAGAGCTTATACTTCAATTTGTGCAACTATTTCGCTTGGGGGGAAGTGGATTCTAACTAAGTAAGTTATAACCTATAGATTCATGTAAAAATTATGTAGTTACACGAGGGGTGCTACGGAATCTGTTTTCTAAGCATATTTTCGACCCTCATCTCACGGCCTAACATGGCCAAAACTGCCCTGAAACTGCCCTGGTTGCGAAATGCCCAATTATTGCGTTCTCAAACAGAATTACTTGCAACTTAATGGCGAATTTAAACCGATACAGGTATAATAAACTCATTTATAGTATAAACTTACTATTTTTATTTGTATACACGTCTAGAAAATCGGGATTTTTATCATAAAGTTCGAAGCAACACTATTATTTAATATGTTGACATTTACTTGACAAGGTGTAGCGAAAGCACAAAATGAGTCAAAATATATACCAAAAGTAGAATCTTTCATGAAATTTTGTCTTATACACAACTACATTAATATATATTTTCTCAATTTTGGCAAGAAGCAGTCTTGTGTTTGTAAAATATACAAACACATATACAATTATAATTTATTAAATAGAACGGATACATATATTATTCCCCGTGGATATTCGTCCGACACCGGATCTTCTTGCTTCACAGCTATTAATCCGACACCGCTTTAAAAGCTAACACTAAACCACTAAATGCTTGCGTTGTTTCTTAAGAACGAAGCAACAACATATTATTATATACGCTATACGTTTCGACGGTTTCGTACGCGAAAATCACGAAGAAAAAAAAAAGTATAAAAAAAAAATAATAAAATTGTGGCACGAGCAGGAATCGATCCCAGAACTCGGCGCACACAATACAGGTGCCTAAACCACAACACTACGGAGGAATCGCTTGAATTTCAGTTAAATTTACGCAGTTTTATATTTAACGAGTTTAATGATTATGGAAATGTCGGACGAATATCCACTTCCTATATTATTAGCCAGTACACCAGAGTGCATTCCATGCACGTTTTGTGGAAGATCTTCGGCGTGAGTTTTGAATTGCTGGCGCACAATCACGTCGAGGTTGCCGCACAAGTTTTTAGTTTTGGTGGTTGGCGCAGAATCAAATGTTTAAGCGAGACTTTGAGTATTAATAATCGCCTGGTGATTGGCCTCTATAATTATTTAGGGACTCGAGAAATTTGTGTTTCTGGTTGTAATAGTAGCTAAATGGTGGTTGTAACTTGTGATACAACAGTAACAACACTCATCATTGCTCATCAGCAAAACAGTTTATTCATCAGTGCGTTACACGCCTTTTTAGCAAGTTTAAATTTTAAGCAACTAACTATTAATGAAAAATCATGGTGCCCGCGATCAGCCGGCGCATAAGTTGACCTCACTTGGCGCACGGTAACACTACCTCAGATTATCTTCGGCGTGAGGTTTACACGGAATGCACCCTGGCCCGTACAGTACTGTATATAAAAACGTACATTGTTTACAAATGGTATATCCGTAATATTTGAACAATAATTTCAAATTCCTCATTCCCAAATATAGTTATTCAAAGCAAAACAGTAGATTGTCTTGCGAATAAAAGAATTATTATTTTGTGCTTTCGCTTCACCTTGTCAACATAATAATAGTGTTGCTTCAAACTTTATGATAAAAACCCCGATTTTCTAGACGTGTATACAAATAAAAACAGTAAGTTATACTATAAATGAGTTTATTTTACCTGTATCGGTTTAAATTCGCTGTTAAGTCGCAAATAATTCTGTTTGAGAACGCAACAATTGGGCATTTCGCAATCAGGGCAGTTTCAGGGCAGTTTTGGCCTTGTTGTTGGGAAATCCACTAGGCCTTCTATTTTTTCGCTTGCGTCAGGCTTGTATCCTTCCTCCGCCCCGCCCCCAAATCACCTAGCCCAGTCTTTTCATGTGAAAAAGCGCTGAATATTAAAAAAATATCAATAAAAATAGAAGGCCTAGGTCTAGGCTGGGCTTAGACAACGGAGTAATTCCATGCCATTTCAACACAGGCATGACACCAACCCTCTCCAAATTTCTTTATATTTCGCAGGCAGTTAACATTGTGTGGGAATAGTTTAAGTTCAAAATTTGAGCATCATAGCTGCAACAGTTTTTGAAATATCGTAATTCGAAATATGGCCCGAAAAGCAAAAAAGTGGGCGTGGCTAGTGCTAAATTCACCATTAACCGATTTTACATTTTGACCTGTAATTTCATACCCGTACATGGTATGTCCATCAAAATTTGTACAAAGATGTATTTGTATGTGGAGATTCCAAATATTGCACTTTCATCCTTGTATCTGCAACCAGTAATGTGTTATGGTACAGCAAAAAGTCTAATTATGTGTTTCTGAAGACACGAAATATACATCATCTTTATTGGAAAAATTTTTATGGAAGCCATACAGACACATCCCAGTAATTTTTATTCCATATCATATCCACATGCTATTCTACTTTCAAGCAAAATTTGGTGATGGTTAGTTGCTTGCTTTAAAAAGTAGAGCCCTTTAAAGTTGTCATATTTTCTAAATAACTTTAATAGTACGTTTTGGGTGTTTGTTCAGAATAAAATACATCCATTGAGAACTGAGACTGCCAAATAGCTTAATGTTTGATTCTATCATTCTTTTTTAATAGTACATTATGTTCTCCAAGAGTAACTGTTATTTCTTGTATCAAATAGCCTTTGATCAATATCGATGCAGTATATATAGAGTCACTATTGTTTATCCATGAATGTGCGTAAGACTTCTTGGTCTTTAGGCTGCAGTTTACACAATCGGAAAATACAAATTATTCTACCGATTCCGATTGTCTACCGATAAGCAAAAATCGGCCCGATTCCGATTATAATTTTTTATTTATTTTTTTTATTAAAAACATCTTGTAACACGGTAGCTAATCAACTAAAAAAATATTAGCAAGGTTGTCGTTACTTTTCACTAGGCCGTGTACTTACAGACAGGATAAGAGATTCCCATGCACTCACCCTCCTCGAACCATCCAAATAATATTAGAAAGATATTCAAAGTTTATTATTTACTCCAACCCCACCCAGATAAAATTATATAAAAAATTTATTTCTTTCATTCCAAACTTTAGCGGCAGCATAACCGAAGTTCGTTTCATTGAATTTGGTTTTGGCTTCAACAACATCAACTTATTTTTGTTATTTTTTAATTCATATCGATCTGAATTATATAGTTTAAACATGTCCGAAATGTTATCGTGAAATTGGCATGTAAGTGCTTTTGATACATATTTTAGTTGTTGCTCCGTCCTTCTTTCACCTAACGTTTTCCAATCTAGTTTCTTTAAAATATCTATGGAGCGTATTTCATATGAGTCACCCGTAATAACTTTTGCAGCTCAGTTTTGGAGTTTCTAAAGATTGCCTCTTAAAGATTCGCCACAGTTACCCCAAATCATCGAGCAGTAATCAAAGTGTGGTTGGACTAAAGCTCGATAAAGATGTTTAAGAGTTTCCGTTGAAACGTATGGCTGACACGAGTACACGACGCAATTATCGGTCAATCGCTAACAAGTATCCTCTTTTACTGGCCACAAATATGATCTTTAAAAAATAACAAAAATAAGTTGATGTTGTTGAACTGACCAAAACCAAATTCAATGAAACGAACTTTCGGTTATGCTGCCGCTAAAGTTTGGAATGAAAGAAATAAAATTTTTATATAATTTTATCTGGGTGGGGTTGGAGTGAATGATAAACTTTGAATGTCTTTCTAATATTATTTGGGTGGTTCGGGGAGGGTGGGTGCATGGGAATCTCTTATACTGTCTGTAAGTACACGGCCTAGTGAAAAGTAACGACAACCTTGCTGATATTTTTTTAATTGATTAGCTACCGTGTTACAAGATGTTTTTAATAAAAAATTAAATAAAAAATTATAATCGGAATCGGACCGATTTTTACTTATCGGTAGACAATCGGAATCGGTAGAATAATTTGTATTTTCCGATTGTGTAAACCGATTGTTGATAAAATACGCACTTTAAAAATCATATATATTGCGCAGTGATACACGTTGAATGCACTTTTTTATGTGAAAAAAACAACTGTTTAATCTCTGTTTAATCTTTGATCATTGTCAACTTCTTCAATCAAATCAAGCCATTTTTCATCATCTTACAAGCATACAATAAAAGAGTTCACTGAAAGTACAATTGGTTCACGAGCAGGGGTAGATAAGAAATAAATTGTAGTGCATACTTTTGATCCATTGATATTCTTTTTGTGTATGTACTATTAATAAATATGTAATTTTTAAACTTTTAAAACAAATTTTAAATATGCACTATCAATAAAGAAGGATCGAATGAAACATTAAGGTATTTGGCAGCCTCATTTCTCAATGAATGTATTTTATTCTGAACAAACACCCAAAACGTACTATTAAAGTTATTTAGAAAATACGACAACTTTGAAGGGCTCTACTTTTTAAAGCAGGCAACTAACCATCACCAAATTTTGCTTGAAAGTAGAATAGCATGTGGATATGATGTGGAATAAAAATTACTGTTGTGTCTGTATGGCTTCCATAAAAATTGTTCCAATAAAGATGATGTATATTTCGTGTCTTCAGAAACACATAATTAGACTTTTTGCCGTACCATAACACATTACTGGTTGCAGATACAAAGATGAAAGTGCAATATTTGGAATCTCCACATATAAATACATCTTTGTGCAAATTTTGATGGATATACCATGTACGGGTATGAAATTACAGGTCAAAATGTAAAATAGGGTAATGGTGAATTTAGCACTGGCCACGCCCACTTTTTTGCTTTTCGGGCCATATTTCGAATTGCAATATCTCAAAAACTGTTGCAGCTATGATGCTCAAATTTTGAACTTAAACTATTCTCACACAATGTTAACTGCCTGCGAAATATAAAGAAATTTGGAGAGGGTGGGTGTCAAATCAGTTTTTTTTGTGTTGAAATGGCATGGAATTACTCAACGTTTAGTTTTAAAATTACTTCGCCAATGAACTCATAAGATGAGTCGCGGTTTTTTATTCGCGTCCGTGTTGTATCGGATATACAAACTCTCGCCTTCGGCTCGAGTTTGTATATCCGATACAACACGGCCGCTCATGTTGTAAATAGTACCTATTGGTTGTGCGGGAAAAATACAATGCACACGTGACGAGATTCAAAGGGGGCCCAAATTCTTGCATAAACGGAAACTAATAGTTTAATGAGTTATATTGTACTTTCATCGAGTCTCCAAACCATGCATGTATTCTATTAAATGTGGTCGAACGTAACACTTGCCTGGGAGGGGGGGGGGAGGGGGGACCCGAGGGCGTATATCTCTCTGTGAAGATTCCGAGTTAAACTCTCTGAAATGGCATTTCCACGAGCCATTTTCGAGAGTTGGGTTTCGGAGTTTTCGTCATTTTATCTAAATATTCAAAATATCTAAATACAAAACACTTTGGTTATATTTTGTAACTTTATGAATACTTTTAGAGTTAAATTTCTTCAATAAAATGTGGGTTTTTATTAATAATTCATGAGGAAAACACAAAGAATAATTAAGCGTGTCGTATCTTTATGTGTGATAAAGAATAGAGATTTCCCTTAATTTACATACACTTTAACTTTGATTTTCTCGACTTACACAACGTATTCTTTGAAAATTAATTCGCCAATGACTTTATACTTCGCCAATGAACTTCGTTTTTGAAGCAATTTAAAACATTCGCAGTGTGTGTTTTATCAGACCTAAAAGATAATCGGCTTCGCCTCGTATCTTTATATCTGATAAAACACTGCTGCTAATGTTTTAAATAGTAGATATATGAGGAGCTGTACAATCATCACTTGATAGTAAATTAAGTCAGACAAACTTGATACGCATTTTTAAGCTTTTAATTAACGCATTTTTAAGTGAATGAACGATTCCTCAAAACGTCGAAGTTCTTTCTATATTTTTCAGGAAGTAGCACAAGCTCCCAGTTTGCATTCGTCTTCGCTACCTAGACTGGCACCAAACCACGTTAAAGATTTAATCTTTACTCTTTTATTCGTATTTTTAGTTTATATTTATTGTTAAGTATTAGCTAGTATTGAAAATTATGTAAATATTAATATGACAAAATATGCTTAACTAAACTAAAACCAAGAAATACCAAAACGTATTCATGTTTATTGTACTTACGTAACGTACTGATAAAGCTACTAAGCTTCCTTTTATAATCGTAACCAGTTCACCAACACAAAGTAGATTTCTTGCCTTCGTTTTAACGAAACTCCCAATATCTTTGGTCGCCATGCATATCTCTTCCTTTTCAGTATTTATCAATCTTCGAAAGTCTTTTCACCAGTTATAGTTTATACACACACGCTAGTAATACTCTTTTTTTCCGTCTTTATCTGAATAATGTGCCTTCTGAATGAGTAATTGTTCTCAAACGTTGAACTTGACTAAACTTGACTTGTAGAAATAGATTTATGACAAGATCAAAGTAAAATTTTAAAAAAAAACACTCAAAATTTAAAGTGAGCGCAAAAAAATTGTCTTTAAATTAAAAACCACTCGAGTTGCTATGGCAACAAAACAATAAAAATGCTCCACAGCCCACCCAAATTATACTACCCATGTCAGTCATTGAAAAAAAAACAAATGTTAAATCTTGTCTAAGTATATAAAAAGTTTTTGAATATATGTTTAAAACGCGACTTCATGTCAATTTTAATAATAAATATCAAATAACGTAGAGCAGTTGCAAGTACAGTGGTAGACTTGATCCCAGTCTGCCCCACTGATGTAGCTACCCCCTTTGAGAGGCAAATTTGTGTTCCTTTCTCATAGGCATGGCCAGGGCCGTAGCGACCGGGGGGGGGGGGAGAGGGTGCAACACCCCAATAATTGCTCATGGGTAATTTCAGGTAAATTTCCAACAGATTTTTAGGTAAATGGCAGGTAATTCTCAGGTCATAAAAAAGTAACTCTGTGCTCTGAATCAGAATTAAAGTTAATAATCGACCAACAAATTAAAGATGTTCAGATGCGTTGTGGTCTGGGGGAGGGACATGGCCAAATACCCTTTCTGGCGATCTGGAGACTCCAAATTTCCAAAATCTTCTCAATTTTCCTGGTCAAATCAACTGTACATATAAGCAACACTGTCATATTGATCAATAGTTATTTTACTTATCTGATTGTTAGGCAGTGTTAAAAAATTGAAATATTGGGTAGGAAAGACTCTAAAAATGCCATGTCCGACGGTCCAGAGAATTAAAATTTTGTTGGCGCCACCAACCACGGCCCTGGACATGGCCATAGCCTGTGCAAGAGTGGGAGGGGCCCCCTCCAGTCAACCTCGTTCCCAGGCACTTTCGTCTACGCTCCTAGCTGGAGAAAATAGCGTAGAGGAAAGAGCCTGGGAACGAGGTTGCCCTCCAGTCAGATTTTGTTAGACAGATTTCACCAATCTCGAAACCAGAGCCCGCAATCCTCTGTGGAGGCTTGCTGAGGAAGCCTCCACAGAGGATTGCGGGCTCTGATTTCGAGATTGAGATTTCACTTAAAAATCGGGTAATTTGTTAGCTGGCCTGTCCGCCTCGGTATAATGTTTTTTCATGATATTAATTAATGTTGATGAGTAAGAGAAATGATTAGCATACATTATTGATGTTTGTCGTTTGGTGGCAAGCGAATTCGGCGTTTAACACTCGCATCTCTCTCCTCCGCAGAGGCGATTGGAATAGGCTTACTTGGAATAGGTTTACATGATTCGTACATGAAGTTCATGTAAGCCTATTCCAATCGCCTCTGCGAAGGAGAGAGCACTCGCATGAATATCTTTGTTGTATCTTATACAGTATAGCAAACAGTCAATTAACTATGAAATTTTCTCCGACATGTATATAGTATGTTAGCAACACAGTCTCAGATTAAACTTTTGTTTTATTAATTAAATGTAAATTACATGCAGCAGAGAGCAGGGAGGTAGCCAAGGGTGCGAACTGTGACATTTGTTGCACCAGTATATTCAGGGGGAATATATAAATGTTATATTTGGTAGTGACTAGAAAATTGACATCATTGAATTTTAATTTCAAATATTTTTGGCCTTTTGCTAATGGATAAACATTGCTTTATTTTAATTCGCGTGCATGCAGTGTCAAAGCTAGCCATAGGCTAGCCCATATAGGTCGAACACTTACGTATTAATGATAATGTCTTTTACATCTGTTTAAATCACTAGATTACACGTATCGTAGGTGGCTTTGACAATTACGAAACAGCCGATTTTACACCAACAATATATACAGTAGTATACAGTGTTTGCATGTAATAACCTTTATCGAACTTTGATTCCTATATTTAAAACCTTGCATTCATATAATCAAGTAATTTTAGCATGCAGATAGAACAGATGTTTAGTTTAAAATTTTAATAGCGTAATAACAATTACTGAGAGCCAAGAAGCTTTTATCTTTGTTTGGTCTGGTAATTCACAGTTATGATAGCAGTTTCTCGAGAGCTCTCATCACGCTTTCCAAGTGGTCCCATGAAGTGTCTTGTCGACACTTTCAAAACGTTATCTTGGCTAAATCGCCGCACTATTCAGAAGCTGTCGCCTTCAATCATGGGGTTCTCAATATAGGTCTAAATTCGACATAATTGCCTCAACGATGTGTCGACTTGTATTCATTAACATGACTTTTAGTGTGTTTTGAAGCAAACTGTGCAATCACTTGCAATCACTTGCTAATTGTCGTTTTGGTATGTATAAAAGTAGACTTGCTCCAAGTCTCTCTTTCATTGTCATATCGCTCCACTATAGTGTACATTACATGACGTAGCACGGAGAGGCGGAGCGAGAAAGAGAGACTTGTCAACGTCAAAATCTCGGTTCAAAACTGAACCGAAAATGCAAGACTTGCTTTAACGTTTTCTTTCAATTTCTTTCTGTATTATTTACTATAATGGAACTCATGTTATTTACATGTGCTAGATCAATGAATATAAACACTGACAGAAAACAATTAAAGCAAGTCTTGCATTTTCGGTTCAGTTTTGAACAATAGATTATTTGATTAGAGGGGAATATTGAATATATTCCCCGATAAGAACAAAGGAAACCGAGCAGGGTGAAAAATAAAGCTATATATCACCCTATTCAGCTTATACTCTCATGCATTTAGGGTTTTCCATTAGCCGATTTAATATTGAAATATTATGCTATATTTGCCTTTGCGACAACTGTTTTATTTCTCCTGCTTTCTGTATCCAAATCCCGATTCTATCACCGTGGGTGGAAATAAGCCGGAGGACCTTAATTCGGACCCATATGTCGCGCATGAAAGTCTTGAGGCGAATAAGAATGAAGCTCACTATTTCAGACTAGCTAGAGAGTAGAGGTGAAAGGCAATCGTTCATTCTACTGAGTAACTATAAATTATATCACCTCGAACGATCGGTGTCAGTGTAGGTAGCGACGATATTAAACAAGACAGCTGCAGATAGTGAGAGATTTACAACTACCCAGGGGCAGGGCCGCCGAGAGGGGGGGGGGAGCAAATTGCCCTGGGCCCCCACCTTAATAGGGCCCCCAACTTGACAGCGAGAGCCTAAAATTGGGTAGGTTCTTTAAATTAGTCAATTGCAAAGCATTTTTAAAATTGAGGGCCCCTTACAGTAACTCCACATGCAGTCTATCTAAGGTCTAGTTGGGTGACTGACTTGGGTCTAGCTTAAAAATAATGTCATAGCCATAGGACCCCCAAGAGAAGATTTGCTCTGGGCCCCGCGAATTCTCTCGGCGGCCCTGCAACTACCTGGAAAATATAAGTAGAACGTTGACGTTTCGAGTGAAGGCCCTTCGACTTCGTTGGGAAGTTAACAGCTATATTATATGAAGGTCTGCGAACGAAGTTACCAAAATTGATGAGATTGTTGCAACTTATGAGTTATGTCCTATGAGTATAATGATCCGCCAAAAAAAACATTTCCTGCTGCAAGCCGCCATAATGATTATTAATCAATTCGTAATCTCACAGGCAAAACACTGAACTAAAAACCAGACTTGAAGTAGACTCTGGGGCCTGTTGCGAAAGTCGCAGATAGTGATTTTTCAAGCTTTCTAAAATTGGCCATTGATTGGTGTATAACTGATTGGTGTATAACATATTTATAAATTAAAATGTTTTTATTAATTCCAAGGTTTCAGTTCATCCGTGCATGGTTTCAAGGACGTTTCCACCATTTCAAAACATACAAGACCGCGGGTTACGAAACATAAACAGTGATGTCTTTCAGCACTTGTGATTTTACTCTTTTATTTACATCAAAAACAAAGTAAAGTCAACCCATGGAGGTAAACTAATATCACAATTTGTTTTTCTCATATTCCACTAAAGACATTAATGTGAAGCTCATTTGTCACTCTTTTCATCGCCTTTGACATGGTTTCCAAGTTGTGAAGCTATGTTTTATCCTACTTTAGTCATTACTAGACTTCACTGTCCAGCCGCGTTAACTGCATATCTCCGCCAATTTTACTCCCGGCTGAGATCCATCGTTAAGAACAGACTGGAAAGGCAATTAACATTTGGGATCATGATATTTTAAACTGTGATAAGCAGTGCTGTACTTTATTTAAGGTCTGTTAAGGCAATTATATTTAAGGTCAAGTTTAGAACTTCTTTCAAGCTTAATAGTGGAAAGTATAGACAACTCTGTGAAAAAGACATTTTGAAAATGTTGGTTGTATGGTTCTGGCAACTTTGCAACTCTACTTTTTAGATAACTTTGTCTTCTCTATTCTCTATAATCCCTCGATCTATTATCCAGAGAGGCAGAGACTACTATAATGCCTGAATAAGTTTCTCAATAATATAATTAAAGCCCCGTTTACACTACGCTCGATTTTTGGTACGGCACGGATAAAATTGGTACCCGTACCACTTTTTTCGTTCTTGGACTACCTATTTAGGTAGTCCAAGAACCAAAAAGTGGTACGGTACCAAAAATTGAGCGTGGTGTAAACGGGGCTTAGCTAAATAGGTAGTCCAAGAACCAAAAAAGTGGTACGGGTACCAATTTTATCCGTGCCGCACCAAAAATTGAGCGTAGTGTAAACGGGGCTTAAAATTCAACCTATATTGCTCGTTTGCAATCGACGCCATCTTGGTTGATTTTCGTGGCAACTAAAAATCTATATTCTTCATTCTTTGTCGTATTGTGCCAGAAATCGTAAACTATCCATAATACACTAAGACGTTTTCAAAACAAACCAAAAATATTAAAGTAACTCAAATATTTCGATGTAAACGGCTGGACAAAACTTTAAAATCAACCAAGATGGCGCTTAATGACACGTAGTGACGTCATGTGCAAGCAAAGAATACTATATTATAGCAACACAGTTTTGCGAAAGATAAAATTTATATTTGCCCGTGAAGAAACATTATGAGAGTGCTCATTAAGGCAAGGATAGGACTATACAATACACCGTACAGTCGAGTTCAGTCAAGTTTATTTGTCTGTGGCTGCAATTAAAGGCCTATAAGTATAGATCATTTGCAGAAATACTGAAACCACAGTCAATAGAAGAAGAAGGTTATAACTCAATGCAGACTGCAGACATGATATAGACCTCATTATCGATCTATATTTCTGTCTTGGTTTATGCAAAAAATGGTCGGCTCATCGTCACGTGTGTATTGTTTCTTCGCCCAACCAACCAATAGCAGTATGTTGGTTTAATTACCCAGTCGTGATATCACACAACGGTTAAATGAAAACATAGCTATTGAGTATTATTGAGTATGTATGTATGTATGTAAAACTTTATTTCAATACGCTAACTTCGACAATTATTTACAACTGGTTTCCACGAAGGGCGTATACACACAAAGAGCTAAATGTTAATTATATATAAAACAAAGTATGTAAGAATCCCACCCTAAAATTTTATCATCTTCCTCCCAAACCTCCACCCCCTAAACAAGTACCCACCCACCCTCACGCAAAACTAACCCCCCTCCCGCCCACAATCTATATTGTCCTCCCATCATTTGGTCCTGGAGAAATTAGCTTATCATCTGCTTAAATGCAATTTCGCCATTGTTTTAAATGACGTAATTGACTCAGCCGCCTTGACATCTTGCGGGAGACTATTCCATAGAATTGCTCCACTGTATCCAAATGTTTTCTTTAGAAATTCCGTTTTCGGTTTTTTTAACGAGAGATCAGTTTCGCTATTGCGTAAATCATAAATATTCTGCGATGCATTTCTCCGAGAAAAAAGATCTTTAAGGTTTGGCGCAGTGTGGTTCCCCAAGACTTTATACATCAATACTAGCTTGTTTTATTCTCGTCTCCTAGCCAGGGTTTCCCAGCCTAATTTGTTTAGGACTTCAGACGATCTTACATCGTAGTCAGCTCCGGTAATCACCCTTGCTGCTCGATTTTGGAATTTTTGCAATTTGTCTTGAAGTCCCAAACCACAGTTATCCCACAGGGGAGAACAGTAATCAAAATGAGGCTGAATTAATGTTTTGTAGACATGTAAGGTTTTGTGTGGAACATAAGGTTTTATTCTTTTAATTGCTCCTATTCCAGCGCTAATCTTATGGCATACAGAATCAATATGTTTCTGCCAACTTAATTTTTCATCTAGATTTACACCTAGACATTTAAATGTATTGGTTTGTGGGACTGGGATTTTGTTAATCTCAACGGGTCTATTTCCTATTTTATGATTTAGATTATGCGTAGATCCAATAAACATAATATATATATCAGACTGCTGATTAAATTTGTAGATTTTTAGTGAGTGATTAAGGATTCATTTACAGTACAGTAGTAGTCCCATAAGTGAAGTTGCACTATATGTTATGTTATGTTATGTTATGTTATGTTAAACTATACTACATGGCCGGATTTTGAGGGGAGGTACGTGTCGGGAGGTTCGCACCTCCCCTGAGATCGTTTTGCACCTCTCATGAGGTCGGTTTGCACCTCCCCTGGGAATTTTTGCACCTCCCCCCATAGAAAGGTTTCAATGATAGAACAAAGTAAAAATTTGACATTTTTTGGTTGCTTAGCGTAACTTCGTAAAAACGTTTTTCTGTAAAATGGAAACGATGTTACAGTGATATAGCCATTCATCTATGTGTCAAGTACCCTATTAATGTAATGTTTTGAAAGAATTAAACTTTGTCCTGTTTGTAACGAAGGGCAAAATTGGATGAATTGTTCAGTCATAATTCATTAATACACTGGATATACACTATGTACACCACATGCATATATCACGTCTGTGACTTTGGCCCGTTCTAAGCTCTAGCTTTCCATGGGGGTCATGAGCTCGACCGCTGCACCTCCCTTAAACTTGTTCCGCCTCCCCCACTATTTCCACCAAAATCCGGCCTTGCTATACTGGTATGTAACATTCAGCATCCTGAAAAGACCTATAGAACAGGGAATGCATGGGTTTACTAACATGTTTGACAAACATAGTTAATGGTTTAGTTTCACTATATGCTATAGCAACAGATTGATGCCACCTCAAATGTTGCTCAGTTGTTACAAGTGTGCTTTTCCTTTATCGTCGGCCTTGATATTTGGTCAACCAATCAGAATCATGAATGTTATTGTACTACGGGAACTTGTTTTTGCATTACTTGGCCACCAGAAGTTCTCCAAGAAATTGAATATTTTCAGTAAACGGTGATTTTAATGCTAACGATTTTGATACAGCATTATTACCTCGGGTCGGTACGACACCGAGGTCTTAAATTCGGCTCCTATTTTTTTTTTTTCTTCTTGTTTTTATTTTCCATTTGTGTCGAGCCGCGCGCGTAGTCGAAGATCGAAGGGCCTGCGGAGGAGACGACAACATCCGGTAAATAAGTGTACTTCCGGCAAGCATCGGCCAAAGCGAAACGGACCGCGAAGCTGTCCTTGCACAAAATCCATCAGAATTGTTGATTTAAAACCAGAAGATGTGATAATTTTGACATACATGTTTAGCTGGATAACTATTCTCGAGTATATGTTGATATAATGCACAATACTTCGTATGCATAGCATGGGAATACCGCGGCCAACTTTCACTTGTTATCTATTATAATTACTGACCCGAATCAAAAGTAATTATTTTCGGCTGGAAGACTACTGTACGTTGCTGCTTGTCGGGACCGTATGACAATGAACCTATCCAACGTTACACTAGACATTTGTGAGGACATGCATATAGACATAACCATAGGCACTGTAGTGCATTGTGATAGAACAGATTTCAGTTTAATTAATCGCCCTAAATTAAAATCTCCACAAGCGGAGGTCAATTATAGTGTTCTAGTTTACATATTATCATTAATGATAAGGTTTACTCAAATAGCGTATTGGATAAACACGGGAATAGAACTTATGGTGTATTCTGCACATGCGTATATCTAGGATAAAATCCCACAAGCGCAAACGAAACTATTTCTCTATAAAATTGAACTGAAAAGACTCACAGCGACCGTTTCCAACAGTGCTTCAGGCACCCGACGACACCGTATGGGGGGCCTTTAGCACTGTCACCTTCTCATCTTGGGATGTTCACGTTATCGCGTGTACATGTCAGGGTGACGAAGATGCATTATTGCTAATAATGCATATGTCTGTGTGCACTGATGCACGCTGCATTATTTTTAATAATGTTGTGTGCTATTTTAACGCGTACATAGAATATGACGCGTATAAACATTTACCCCTGAGCCGGAATTTCCCTATACAACCAAAAAGGCCGCTCCCGTTTTTCAGTAGAACGTTAAATGAAAACTTCTCGACATTCGCTGATATAATGCAGAGAGAAAACAATAGGTTTGATGAGGGCCAGTAATTATTATCAATAAAATATTAAAACGGAGCTTTGATTAACTGATTCACCATTTATACTAGTGAACTATTAAACTATCGTGATTTACACAATTTTTGGATATTTACCAGACGATCCCCTATCCACCGACCCGAGGTTAACGCCGAGTCGGCGTCTTGTTTAAAATAATATTGCACGCTGTATGATCACACCAGCAGTTAAAATAACGTGACAGCTGGCGTACGTTTCTATTTAAGTTGGCGTACGTTTCATTGATGTAAAACGTACGATTCAATATTAGAGAGCTTAATCAATATTAGAGAGCTTAAGCAAGCAACGTTTTTGACAACACGGACGCCAACCAGAAGTGAATCGAGCCGTTATTGATGGCGAGTGATGGCGACAGCCGGTCTTCTTTGAAATCATGAACCGGAAACTTCATTGACTGCCGTTCTAGATTCCAAACTAGAACGGCTGTCGCCATCAATAACGGCTCCATTCACTTCCTGTTGGCGTCGGTGTTGTAAAAAACGTCGCTTGCTTAAGCTCTCTAATATATAATTGATCGGAATAATCGCAATGCATCACTGTATAGTGACCACTCCTCCTCTGGGAGATAAGAATTGCTGTCTCTTATATAACTTCATAATCCTGAATGAATTGACAAATAAATTCAATATCTTTTTGCGAGCGCATTTTAGTTTGGAATTGACAAAAACGTTTGGTTAATTGGGCAAAAGTTATTTTGAAATCGTCATTATTTTGGTAATTTAATGGACTTTCTAACACATTGTGAGCCTACAGATTTTTTTCCTTTTTTATATTTTATTTTATGATTTTTCGCAACCTATACTTTGTTTTTGAAGCAGCGACGAATTAAAAGTGTATAATAAATTTCCTTGCCCGAAAAGTTAATCAATTAAGCTTTTCCATATAGGTCAAAACACGCTCTAAAAGTGGACATATTAGAAGGACAAGTCATAATATACCCAAATTAAGCCAAAGAAAACCGCCTTTTTACACTGGCCTGTAGGCCAAGTGTCTTAAATCCCTCTTTTTCTGTTTTTTTTTCGACGAGAAATGGAGTTTGCGTTCGGTCATCGCAGGCTCAGGGTGCAACGTGCTCCAGTGACATATTCAGTTCAGTTTCAAAATGGCGGCTTTTCACTCAGCGATCTAATATATATTTCACACAGTTTCGTTGAATTTTCAAAGAATTGTGCCGGTTTCCTATGGATTTTACGTTGTGTCGCACTCAGGCCTTTCTTGCGTGTTGAATTAGTGTGTTTTTCTTTGTGCAACGACTCGAAAACCCCAAAATTTGGATCCAGCGAATTTATACAATATACTGGAATATAAACAAGGACAAGTTAAGGGTTTCCGTTTGACAGTTTCACTTTTTAATTAACAAGTACAAATATACGTTGTAGGCTCATAAACATGCGTTGAGCTCTTGTATTCATTTGCATAATTGTAAATTTGCACCTAATTACATTAATTTGTGCCAAATTACTTTCTAATTCATCATATATTACTATAAAATGTATGTTTTCGATTGTATTCAGCGAGGTGGCGTTGCGTGCGGGGAAGTGAAACGTGATACGGTTCGATTTGTTTTTGGAACAAGATCCAACTCCCCCCCCCCCCACTCTTTTAATTCTCAAATTGTTTATTAGATGTTTACTGGTTGGGGTTGGAGAAGGGCTTTGGGTTGGGATCAGTTTATCTTATAAATGGAAGCGAATTGGCGTATTTTTTTAGAAGAATGGTCTACTTCTACGAACATTTTAGCACCGAGCTAGCCGTTATGCATGCCTGATTCTAGTGTGCAGTGATAATCAATTGTGCAGTGATAAAAGTAAAATGTGCAGTGATAAAATTAATGTAAAATGTGCAGTGATAAAATTTGCACTTTGATCCCCGAGCCGACGGCGCGAAGCGCCGTGCGAGGGTACTAATTCCCCCCGGCTATTTACATCCGGGGAAACGAAAGCATTAGCGAAGTCTAAAGTTCATCAAATATCGCGGGCGTGGCTCACCAACGAAGTTTCGGTGGGTGGTCATCCTCACTGATCTCAAAATATGTGGCGGACTGTCATGAATAGCGAAAACTGATTGGTCCAATTTAAAG